AAGGATTTAATTTAAAAAAAAAAAAAAATTTAATTTGTACGAACAAAGACACAACAACAAAAAAAAAAAAAACGATTAAGCGGAGACTGACCTACTTTAAGATCAATGCAACGCGAAATGAGGACATAAGACGGGCACATCACCCCTGCAGGGGGGTGACCAAATGAGTACATAAGACGGGCACTTCACCCCTACAGGGGGGTGACCAAATGAGTACATAAGACGGGCACTTCACCCCCACAGGGGGGTGACCAAAACGATGAGCATATCGAGGCGTGACTAGTCTTCCGTTGCATTTTGCTAAGAACTTGATAGGGCCATTCCATAGTTAGGAGAAATATTAATTCCAAGAACTTAGACTTGTGATAGTGTTGCTAATATTATTATTAATGTGAGGTTTGATATTGTTAGTGTTAGACCTGCATTCATTTCATGATATGTTGCTTTCATGGATCTTTGTTCATATCCTAATCAATGTAGTCAAGTACATTTATATAGAGCACTGATTGTCTTTATTTTAGCAAATGGTGTGTCTAAAATCTACATGAGTTAGTCCCCTTTTCAAAACCCCCTAGACCACGAGCTTGTTCACCTTCATTGAACACAATAGGGTGCGTAACAACATAGACTTAAGAATGTCATTTCTAGGGCACTGGTCCTAAAACTCATTAGTCAAAAGAGCCAAAAATTCAGCAGCAGAATGCTTTTTAAAAAAATTTGAGAGCCACATTTCTTTTCAAGAACCTGTCAAGAACCTTGTTTTTCGTGTGGATTTTTTCGTGTTTGTCTTAATGAACCGTCTGATACGAAATGCCAGAAAAATAAAAGTAAATTTGTTTCAATACTATTTCTGTGTGTAAATTTTAATATTGTTAATGACATGTTATACAAATATTTAATTCTGTTTTTTTTTGGTCTACCTGACTATATATCATATAACACACACACACACACACACACACATATATATATATATATATATATATAAATATATATATATTTATGTATAAATAACATTTATAAAATCTAAACAAATCCAAAATTTTTACAAAATATGTTATACAAATATTTAATTCTGTTTTTTTTTGGTCTACCTGACTATATATCATATAACACACACACACACACACACACACATATATATATATATATATATATATAAATATATATATATGTATGTATGCATAACATTTATGCAATCTAAACCAATCCAAAATTTTTACAAAACCCACAATAATGATCAAAGATAAATTGAAACTTACAACTTGATTTTTGTCCTAAACGTGCAAGGATTATTGGCTGCAATGGGTAGACGTAAAAAAAAAAGGTCTAAATTGTTATGTTTTTAATTAACATTAATGACGTTTTCTTTAAAGTAAGGAGTTGTAGTTTAAGCTAAAGTATGCTAACAATTCTTCACTTGAAGAACTATTTGAAGGAAAATGCTGTTGTAAAACCCAATTCAACACATATACCTCAAATCAGTTTGATCAGGTGCGAATTCTTTCTTTTCAAAGTTAGGACCGAAAGATATAAAAATTCCTTCGTTCCCCAGTCTGAACGAAATTACCAGCCTGCTACCCCCCCCCCCCGCGGTTACCAGATATGAATGATCATTATTTAATGCATTATTGACACTAAAGGAGTTCATTTATGTCTGCTTTCTATGCAAGAAAAATACTATAAACGTCTTGTTTTTAAATTTTCATAATTTTAAAATAATGTCATCGCTAAAATATGTATTTTTTGGTGTTGTTAAGCAATGGCTTCTCTTGTGAGAAATGAATCTCTTGTTTTCAGTTACGGCTCGTTCACAACCAAGGACGATACCATAGAGAAGCACAATAATAAAGATACGACACGCAAAAACGGTACTAATTACAATTAATAAGATTTAATTTAGTAATAATACAATTATAAAATAAAAGAAATATAATTACAAATCATCACCTTACAGTATGGTAGATCTTGTACCGGTACACAGTTAACACAGTTAGTACAATGTGCCAATTAATAATGATGAATAATTAATGCGAATTAAATCATAAGTACACAAAGAATGATACTCGTCTCATAAAGTTAAAATATAACTATCTGAATCTCTCTCTCCGTGCCTGTCAATCCCTGATATATGTGGGGCTACCGACGCGTCTAGAAACGCCCTTACTTTTCTTAAATAATCGAGAACCTACGACAAGATACTAATAGACAAACTAGCCATGTTAAATTGGAGGTCAGTAGTAAACAACTTACTTCAAAGAGATTTAACCACGCCCACAACAAACGTTACTATCTGCTAGGAGTCTAATGCGGGGTTAAAGAAAGTTTACACATGGGGGGGGGGGGGTGTTAAAATGTACTACATAACATTGTGCTGAAAATAAGTATGTACAATGTCATAAAAACAATCTCTATTTTTTGGATCAATGAAGAATCGTATCTTACCTAATCTTAAAAGTAAACATTATAAAAACAGGACTGCATATTAAAATATCAATCAAGGCTGTGGTCTCTACAACAACAAACCTTTATTCACCATTCTATATTCTTTTTATACCTAACATCACATGACCAATCACTCATTCGCCAACCAATATTCACACATTTAACTTTAAACATTAATGAAAACAAGTTACCACGTCCAGTCATACAACATGACAACAACACAGGAAAATCAGTCACAAAGTTCAATCAAAACACAATAATAATCGTGATTAACTCATACTGTCAGAGGGGCTACAGTATACGACAGTTTTACTGTCACATGGGCTACGGTATACGACACAGTTTACTGTCACACGGGCTACAGTATAAGTCACTGTTTACTGTCGCAGTGGCTTCAGTATAAGACACAATTTACATTTGTACAAGAGGCTGGCTTACCCCCAACCGAATGCACTGAAATTCTCCCCCTCAGAACTGACACCACTGTGCACATGGGCACCCAGCCAGCTTTCGCATCCCATAATGTAGACAAAGGCTCCACTGCTGCCCTGACATGTACTCGTTGTGTACGTGTACTTGGTCACCCAGTCCCTGATCTGGTGTCGGTCAATCCAGTGGCCCATGGACACATGCTTGGAACAACCGTGAGGATGGGAGACTATAAAGGAAAACCTTTCACCTCGACCTGGCTTATTGTAATCACCGAACACCTTCCACCAAATGCCCTCCCACTCTTCCCACATATGTCCTAGTTTTTTCAACAAACCTGGGTTACAGGTGACGTGCTTCAACTCGCACCTGTCGTATTTGGTGCTGACGTCGTCAATCACCGACCAGCCGTCGAGCTCGACCAGGGGAGAGTCGCTGCTGTCGAAGAAAAATCTACAAGACGTCTGGGCACCCTCGATGCCGTCGAACACGACATGGGTGGCGGTGTACACATGCACCTCCCCCCACTCGGCGCTGGGCGTGTCCGAGCCAATACACTTGTGACATGTGCATGCCCCCCACACCTTGACGTCCCTCTCAGTGTACTTTTTAATGCTGTAAACTCTGCCGCTACCCGTCGCCGTGATGTCGGCGCCCCTGTTGTCAGAAAACGGGAATGGATCATTCGTACCTGGCCAGGTCAAGGGCCTGTTGGGACTGATGAATCTAACGCTGACCCTGACGGTGAGGTCCGCCGTGGCCTTGATTAAATTGAAAAGGCTCAGATCCCGGTTACCTTGGGGCAAATGACCGATGGTCAGATCGTGGATGGGTATAAAATCCTGGTGGTTTGGATTTTTTTCACAGTTTTTCATATGACGATGTAGGTTAACCTCGCCTCTATTGAACCCTCTATTGAACGACGCCACCTCGTGTTCAGCTGCTGGAGAAAGAACGTAGCACATCAATAATCAAATAGTTTAATTACACATGGCGAAATAAAGTAACAAAATATCAATTGCTAAAAACAGCAAAATTAATGTACGTGAATCTTTATTTACGTTTTCTAAGAGCGTAAAAAGTTATCACCTAACTCCTTTCTTTAAAATTACAAACATTTTCATCTTCAATTTCTTTCTGTTTTAAATTAAAATACATACAGCACATTTAATATTCAAATATTTTATCCAGTAGGCGGAACGAATGTTTAATGAAATCAGTTAAAGACCTCTCAATTACAATCTTTCTTAAGCCATCAAGAAAATAATACTTTT